TTTCATTAAAGCCTGTGCCTTTCTTAAGTTCTGTTTTAATGATGCGAGGATCTTGGAACGCGGATGGAGATCCGAATCGACGACCTCTATTGGAGTAGTATCGAAAGTGTATTCCAAGAGACAAGGGGGAGGTCTGCCGTAGGTAACTTGAAAAGGTGAAGTCCCAGCAGATCGATTGTAAGCTGTGTTGTAGTGAAACTCAGCCCAACTGAGGAAGCGATGCTAAGCGGCTGGGTTGTCATGGACGAAACATCTGAGGTATTGTTCTAAATTTCGATTCATCCTCTTTGTTTGCCCGTCTGTTTGGGGGTGGTAAGCCGAACTAAAATGAAGAACGTTCCATATAGTTGAAACAAAGTTTTCCAAAACTCACTGGTAAAAATTGGATCTCTGTCTGACACGATGGACTTAGGGGGGCCATGTAGTTTCCCCACCCTATCCCAAAAAATCTGGGCTACCTTAGCCGCTGAGTATTTTGGTGGTAAAACTGCAAAGTGAGCACCTTTGGAGAGTCTGTCTACCACTACCAAAATGTCTGTAAATCCCCCTGAATTGGGTAAATGGGTTATAAAATCCATGGACAACTCTGAACAAATGGTGTCGGGAATGGGGAGGGGTTGTAAAAGACCATAGGGAAAATGGTTTGGGGCTTTGGTTTTCTGACATATATCACACTGGAGAATGAATTGCTGAACATCTCTTTTGATGTGTTTCCAGGTAAACTTGGCGCCCAATCGAAGGAGGTTAATATGGTGATTGAAAGTGCGGTCAGGAGGTAGCGTAGTTATGTAATTAAAGACATCTTGAAATTGAAGCAAAATGTTCTGTATCTGAGGAGAGTGTACGGTAGTAGGGGTAGAGGTGGTACTTGTGAGACACAGGAAACAAGAAGAAACAGAATTCTGGGCCATAAGTTTGTGCAATTGGGCAGTGGAAATTTGGGATGGAGATGGTTGTGTATCACCATGGAGTAATATGGTAGAATTATTATGGGTAAAGGACATAGTTAATTGAGAGTAATCTGTGACAATCGGTCCCAGAGTGGATAACCATTGAATGTCAAGCACTACATCTGCGCCCTTAAGTTCCAAAACAAATAAGTCCAAAAAAAATGTGTTGGACTGCAGTAGCAAGGGTACTGCAAGACATGAAGCAGTGCATTGTAGAGTATCACCATTTCCAACCTGCACCTGAAATGGATTAATCTGTTGCATTGTTAGGTCCAGAAAAATTGCCATATGTGCAGTTATAAAATTATGGGTACTGCCCCCATCTAAAAGAATTTGCACGGATTTCCCTTTTATAGCCCCTTCTAGGCGAAATGATCTGGAGTTGTGGTGGCCAAATAAGGCATTGAAACTAATTTCCAGTGTTATTTCAATAGGACTGGGGACCTCCTGTGTGTTCGGAATATCAAGGTCGGGATCATCCTCAGTACCTTCGAAATACAATAAAACAACGCACCCCTTGCATTTATGACCGAACGAATATTTTTCATCACAATTGTAGCATAAGTTTTTCTCCCTTTTGACTAGCATTTCTGCCTGTGATAAGCAGCGAATGGGTACCGCTGGAATGGGTGTAGAAGTGGTACGGTTGGAGTGAGGGACAATGGGTAATGAATTTGTGGGTTTATGAGGTGTGGTCCAAGGGCAGAAGGAACGAGACTCAGTAGCCTGATCTTCATAAACACGGGCCATTGAAAATGCTTCATGATAATCCTGGAGCCTAAGAGTTAAGACTGATCTACGAATATGGGTTTTCAAGCCCGATATAAAAATGTTGCGCAGTAGCGTAGCAGAGAGGCCAGGTACCTTACTGATAAGCTTCTCAAAGGATGATTGATATTCAAGGACTGAACCTGTCTGTTGAATTTTCACCAAGGAACCTGCAGGATCCTCAAACTCCGATGGTCCAAAACGGCGGTGTAAAGCCGTACAGAAAGTGCGCCAATCAGTCATTAGCCCATTTTGGTCAGATCTGTAAAACCAACTAGCTGCTGGCTCAGCCAAATGAAATGCAGCAAGATTTAAACGATCTGGAAGTGGAACCTGATAAAAAGTAAATTACCTTTCAACCGCGATAATCCAAGTAGTCGGATCACCCGAAGAGAAATGTGGAAAATCAAGCTTCACTTGACGGGATCTGGGATTATCCAAAGCTGAAGTGGAATTCCCATGGGGTGTAGATCCCAAAATGCCACGGTTGGCAGTAGTCTATGTAGCACCGATACCGACACGGGAAACGTGACACGATACTCTGACACGTTAGTTACTAAAAATGTTAGATTTCGACACGTTAGGACACATTTTGATATTAAATAATATTTTTAATTTATGTAGTGTATATTATATTTAATATTCAATAATTTAACAAAAAAATGAATCTAAACTTATAATATTCATAAATTTTGCAAAGAAACATAAGATATCCCAAATATTTATATTAAACTCAATAAAATAGTAATCGTAATCCAACGAATCTAATAGTTGAAACTAAAAACTTAACGCAACGCAACCTTTAATCATTTTCTTGAATTTTTATAACGCGTGTTGAAGTGTCGGAGAGCTAGTGTCGGAGTGTCCGAGAGTGTCGGGAAGTGTCGGACACGACACGTCAGGATTTTTGAAGTGTCGGTGCTTCATAGGCAGTAGTTAGGTCAATCAGACGAGTAAGGTCTTGCTGAAAAAGATTTTGGGAATCGTGTAATTGCTGCTGGGAATTATGTAGTTGAGTGTGAGAGTCGTGAAGATGAGTGTGTTGCTATTCTCTGACTAATTCAGCAGCATGAAACTGTTGCTCCAAGGTTTCCAAGCGCTGATGTAGTTCCCTCATTCTGGTATTTTCTGCCATGGATAGGGAGGAAGAGGTCAATGAAAGCACCAAATTGTAAGGGTTCAGATCTGTTAAGAGAGAAGGAGGAGAGAAACGTGAGAGAGAAAGGGATAGAGAGAAATAAGAGAGAGAATTGTCCAACTTTTCTATGTTTTCTATTCACGCCACACCTGGCTATATAATCGTATCACGTACAACCCTTCATGGATCTCTTTAGTTTTTTTTAATTACAACTGATATCAACAAGACTAAACATTAACTGACTTAATGTGACTATTGGAAATAGTCTATTAAGTAATTGGGCTTCCTCTTCAGACGTATGGGCCTACTTCCATATGCGCCAATTAGATGGGATGCAACAGATTAATTGACAGTAATGTAAGATTTAACATTTCTACAATGGTTGTCGATTTTCCATGTACATTATGGATTCAAAATGTTTTCAAGATCTAAATATTTTAATTATTTTCAATATTTTTCATTAAAAATTAACTTCTTTTATATATGAGTACTTTTGTTTGTTATGGATTGGTCTTTCACATAAGCCCTTTGTCTACTCTCACTACCATGTAAAGATGGCACCATCAATGAATATCATATCAAATAACAGCTCTTCTAAGTGAATTCTCCAAAATCGATTATCCCTTATTCATATCTCAACCACTCCAAAAGGGTCAATTTTTACATTGTTGCATATAAGCAAGGGCCAATCACCATCATCCAAAGGATCCACGGGTACATATCCTATTTTTATACTCTATATTTCATACACATATTGAGTTGAGTATCAGAATACTGGCAGATATACCACTCTCTTACATACCATAATGCACAGAGGAACCACTAAGAACCTTCAATGGAGGTAGAGGTACACATGCATGTGAGCTAGTCAAAAAGTGAGAATGGAGGTTTGTTTTCCATATGGTTGAAGTATGTTGATCTGAGGATGACAAAGGAGGCAATGATATAGATCAAAACTTTTGAAAGTCACGTACTGGTCTCAAGCTAACAGAGGATGAAAGAATGAGGCATTTGGGCTCGATTATGGCTAAGGAATGATTTTGATACAGTAACATTAAACTTGTGCAATAGAGAAGATGATGCATTAATTTGGTGAGACTGCGACCTCATTTATAAGGTGAAGGAGATTCCCTTCAAGCATGGAAAGTGTGATGCCATAATCATTATCGTTCTATGGGTCTCTTTATGATGTGAGACTGCGTGACCGGTGACGTGCAAAGATCACATGTGTGTAAAAAATATAAAGGAACACATGTATATAAAAATCATATACACCACGTGCTAAGTGATGGCGGCCTTGCTGGGCAGCCATTTGGACTTGATGGACAAGCCATTCGACTAGTCTAGAACAATATTCTTGAATAATTTATAATTTCTTTTATCTTAAATAAGCTTGTATAATTGCGCAATAAACATTGAATTGAATATATTATCCAGTCATGTGTGGGCACTAAACATTAAACAACATAAAACATGTACCATGTATAATTTATTTTACACTAATAAACTTTAGGGAAAATGTGTTTCTTATGTTATATATGTCAGACGGTTTTGTTTATTGTCTCATGCAAACAAATTATCTTATACAAGATGTCAAAGTTGTTCATAAACTTTATACTTCCAAGCTTTGTACTATCCAATTTTATCTTATACGATGCCTAGGTAGAGGGTACTCCTTCCATTTAAGCAGTGGGGCAATGATATTTGTGTGATGTCAATCCGAATCCGGGCCAGACCCGGCTACATATTGACAAGTCACGGACCCAACTTGGGTCAAAAACACCACCACCCAGCTTCTCGCCTCTTTCGTTTTAAATTCGTACAAGAATAGCTTGTTTTAAAAAATCGTGTGAAATAAAAAAGTCTAGAATAATTATTTGCTCCAGCATTGTCATTTATCATAAGTCATTTATCACAACGACAAGAAAAAAGAAAAAGAAAAAGAGTTGAACTATAAAGAAGTTTGTGGTGTGGTTTATGCGTAGAATGCGCGATTCAAAACATCTTTTTCCAAATTTGAGTGGGGTCTAAAGGCTTCGCTTCCGTAAGCCACTTTCCTTCTCCCCACGACTACGAGAGTGGTACCTCTATATAAATCCCCCACACCCCTCGCTCTAGATACCAATTTTCTCTTCTCGACCATCTCAAATTAACGTAGAGAAAAACAAACTCTCATGTTCATATAATTCCTCAATTAACCCAAAGAAAGAAAAAAAAAAAAGTCCCTAATCTATCCCTCTCCAAATGGCGGCTTCGGTTGACAACCGTCAATACAGTGTCCTCGAACCCCACATAAACGGCGTCGTTCGTACCGCCACCGCCACCCACCGCTCCGATTTCAAACCACCTTTGCTTTTGGATTTGGATTCCTCCAGCAGCGACGACGAACAAAACGACGACGCTTCCAACCTTAAAGACCTCATACGAAAGGCGAACGCGGAGGTGGAGCCCTCAGTGTTGGACCCACGCGACGGCGGAACCGCCGATCACTGGGTCCACCGCAACGCCTCCATGCTCCGCCTCACAGGGAAACACCCCTTCAACTCAGAGGCACCACTCCAACGCCTCATGCACCACGGATTCATCACCCCGGTTCCACTCCACTACGTCCGCAACCACGGTCAAGTCCCAAAGGCTCGCTGGGAGGACTGGACCATCGAGGTCACCGGTTTAGTCAAGCGGCCCGACCGGTTCACCTTGGACCGGCTCATCCGCGAGTTCCCAAGCCGCGAGTTTCCCGCGACTCTGGTCTGTGCTGGGAACCGCCGCAAGGAGCAGAGCATGGTGAAGGAAATCATCGGGTTCAACTGGGGCGCCGCCGCGGTCTCCACCTCGGTGTGGCGCGGCGTTCCTCTCCGGCAAGTGCTACGGCGGTGTGGGATCTACGCGCGGACGAAGGGTGCGCTTCATGTTTGCTTCGAGGGTGCTGAGGATCTCCCAGGGGGTGGTGGGTCCAAGTATGGAACGAGCATAAAGAGGGAGATTGGAATGGATCCTTCGCGTGACATCATCATCGCTTACATGCAAAACGGTGAGCTTTTGGCGCCGGATCATGGGTTCCCCGTTCGCATGATCATACCCGGTTTCATCGGTGGCCGCATGGTGAAATGGCTCAAACGTATCGTCGTTACTACAGAGGAGAGTGACAGTTATTACCATTACAAGGACAATAAAGTACTTCCCTCCCACGTTGATGCTGAACTTGCCAATGCTGAAGGTATCTTTATCCTACTCTAGCTCAAACTTATGCTACCTTAATTTAATTACTATATGTGTTAAATATTAATTTGATTAGTTTTTAGTGTTTGCCCAAGAAAAATTTCACCGGTACAAAGTAAATTATTGATTATATTTTTATTTAATTATTTTGTGTGTGTGTGTGAGAGTGCAGCCTGGTGGTACAAGCAAGAGTATATAATCAACGAGCTCAACATAAACTCGGTGATAACAACGCCTTGTCATGAGGAGATCTTGCCCATCAACTCATGGACTACGCAGAGGCCTTATGTACTTAAAGGCTACGCATATTCCGGTGAGTCAATGAGTGTGTTCTTAATATTTTCTTACCAAATAATAATAAATTAATTAAAGCTAATTACTATTCGTGTAAAAGTGAAATTTCAAACGGTGAAAAATTAACTTTTGGATTCTCGTTCAAGTGGATGGGATTGGAATATTGGCTTTATTAGTGAGTTGAAATTAACACGAATGTTTGTGGTTGGAGACTTGGAGGGAGTAAAGTACGAAATTATTGGTTTCGTGGGTGCAGGGGGTGGAAGGAAAGTGACACGAGTTGAGGTAACAGTGGACGATGGAAATACGTGGTACGTGTGCACGTTGGACCACCCTGAGAAACCCAACAAATATGGCAAGTACTGGTGTTGGTGCTTCTGGTCATTGGAGGTGGAGGTGCTGGACCTTCTTGCGGCCAGAGAGATTGCTGTCCGCGCGTGGGACGAGGCCCTCAACACCCAGCCTGAGAACCTCATTTGGAATCTTACGGTACGTTCACGTCTCTAAGTATGAACACCCTTTTGTTAAATAAATTAAATAACAACTGTTTATTTTTTATTTTTTATAATTTAACATGTAATCTAATATAATTTATCTTAATCTTTTACCACTAGATCAATTATAATAATCAATTTTGTAAACAAATAATTTTTTTCTTCAAATGTGAATTATTGTGAGTCATTACTTTAATTATATTTTTAATGCGGTATGAATTTCTTATTTACAAAAGTGTTTAAAAATTTCTCACACAAAAGGACCATTAAGATAGTATTTTATGGCCACATTGGTAAGCTGCCATTTGTTCCGAAGTATTGGATCTCATGGTCTCCTTGCAGACACACAAACGTGGAAATTAAAATTAGTTAACGCTACTTCACTTTGACATCATCATCACCTATCACTTTCACAGCCTCATTAGGTGGAGAAAAATAATTAAGTATTATAAATTAGGAAATATAATTTCTCATGTTGCATAAGATAAAATTATCTTAAATGTATATAAAAAAATTAATGGTGCATTTGTTTTTCTTCTCTCTTTTTGTGTGTCACACTCACTCTTTTATATGTACGTGAGAATTTTATTTTATACAAATGAGAAATTATATTTCCTATAAATTAATATTCTCAACGCCAAACATCGTACCTCAAATTTGTTATACATAATAATATAAATTTAATCTGATAGTGTGTATTTATATTTATGTCCTATGTTGTTTTTAATAAATTAATATGATAAACTGTATGTTGTGTAGCCGTTATTTTTTTCTATAAAATATTATAAAAAGAAAAGTTTTGTCAATCTAGAGTAAAAATAATAATAATGACTTTTTTCTAGTAGTGCAACTCTCGTTGAAGTCATAGAATGCTTACCTATAACCTGCCAATAATAGGTCCGTACGTGTATACGAATTATTTTGATTCAAAACAGTGATGTATCCATCATTGGCCCACCAAAATAATGGCATTAATTTTAGAGTAAATAGCCTTTTTTGTTCTCAGCAAATTTCACGAAGCTCCTTTTAGTCCCTAGCAAATAAAAAGGCCCATCGTGGTCCTTATAAAATTTAAAATGGACCCATTTAGTTGAAATCATGATCCCTCACAAATTCAAAAAAGAGCCATATTAGTCCTCAAAAGGATTAAAATGGGTCCATTTTGAACTTTTTAAAGACCACGATGAGCTTTTTATTTGCTAGAGACTAAAATAAGTTTGGGAAAATTTGTTGAGGACCAAAAAGAGTATTTACTCTTAATTTTATGACAATGTGACTTACTCCTATTATTTTTTATTTACTTCAGCTAATATAAGAGAGAGACAAAAAAACACTTTTATATTATAATTATATTTTATCGGTAGAACATAATATAAAGCTATTAAAAAAATACAAATTACATCATTTAAAAAAACACATCTTTTCCGGTGAACAAAATATTCCTGATTTTCATTTTTAGTTAATATAAAGTAAGACCCTATGCAATAATGTGCAGGGCATGATGAACAACTGCTGGTTCAAGGTGAAAACCAATGTGTGCAAGCCACACAAGGGTGAGATTGGCATAGTGTTTGAACATCCAACCCAACCAGGTAACCAATCTGGTGGTTGGATGGCAAAGGAAAGACACCTCGAGAAATCACAAGAGCCAGACCCAACCCTCAAGAAGAGTGTCTCAACGCCATTCATGAACACCACCTCAAAAATGTACTCCATGTCCGACGTTAAAAAACACACCAACCCCGATTCCGCTTGGATCATCGTCCACGGCCACGTCTACGATTGCACCCGCTTCCTCAAAGATCACCCCGGCGGAACCGACAGCATCCTCATCAACGCCGGCACCGACTGCACGGAGGAGTTCGACGCCATCCATTCCGACAAAGCCAAGAAAATGATCGAAGATTACAGAATCGGCGAGCTCATGACCACAGGCTACACCTCAGACACATCATCGCCAAATAACTCCGTGCATGGAAACTCTGACACAATCCATTTAGCCCCCATTAAGGAAATCATCACAACACCACTTCATAACGTAGCTCTTAACCCACGCGAGAAAATCCCATGCAAGCTCGTGTCCAAAACTTCCATTTCCCACAATGTGATACTCTTCCGTTTTGCGTTACCATTCGAGGACCAAATATTGGGGTTGCCAGTGGGAAAGCACATATTCTTATGTGCCACAATAGACGAGAAGCTATGCATGCGAGCCTACACTCCAACGAGCAGCGTTGATGAAGTGGGGTACTTTGATTTAGTAGTCAAGGTTTACTTAAAAAACGTGCACCCCAAGTTCCCTAATGGTGGTCTCATGTCTCAGCACTTGGATTCTCTACCTATTGGTTCTTTCTTGGACGTGAAAGGTCCACTAGGTCACATCGAATACACTGGTAGAGGCAACTTTTTGGTTCACGGAAAGCACAAGTTTGCAAAGAGGCTAGCCATGTTAGCTGGTGGGACTGGAATCACACCCATTTACCAAGTGGCTCAAGCGATTCTTAAGGACCCCGAGGACCACACGGAAATGAACGTGGTGTATGCAAACCGCACTGAGGATGATATATTGCTAAGGGATGAACTCGATGCGTGGGCGAAGAATTTTGCACGGTTTAAGGTGTGGTACGTGGTGCAAGAAAGCAAAAGGGAAGGGTGGGAATACAGTGTGGGGTTCGTCACGGAGAGTATCCTGAGGGAGCATGTTCCAGAGGCATCAGAGGATACCTTGGCATTAGCTTGTGGTCCACCACCTATGGTTCAGTTTGCGGTGCAGCCCAATTTGGAGAAAATGGGGTATGACATCAAGAACAATTTGCTGTTGTTTTAGGGCATATACGGCTAGTGTTGTATGTAATGTGTATTATTTGTGTATCAGCTTAATTATTATTGGAGTATCTCTTATTTCTTTCTTTTTTAAGAAATTAAAAAAATGAAAAATTGTATATGGATTGTGTGACACGCTTAACTCTCCTTCCTTTTTCAGGTTTTTATGTAAATAAAGGGAAATGAATCGTTTACAAACTTTTTTTTGAAATTTTTTACAAATTACACTATGTTCTCCCGGAAGAATACTAACTAGTGTTTTCCCGGAAAAAGATAGTATAGTTTGTAAGAGTTTGTAAACAAAAAAGTTTGTAAATATAAGTTATATTAGTTTTGGTTCCTATTGAAGAATTTATTTGCTCAAGATATAGAAGGTCTGCATGTGTATGTATATCATATTTAAAGATGGTCAAATATGAGAAACAAACTTTGACCAAATTGAGGGTATTTTCTTCCCCCGCTTCGTTATTTTCGATCCTTAGAATCCCATGGACTTTGGAGTGCATACCTTCATTGACTAAAGACAAAAAAATTTGATACATGAGAATCTAGTGAGAGAATTTTAAAAATAAGCCAACTATTAATTAATAAGATTTATAGATTAGTTATCAAACTAGTAATCTATCGTCGGATCAAATTACTATTTTAATAACCAATCCATACAACTTGTTAACTAATGAGCGAGTTATTAGTCTACCAAAATTAAAAAAAAAAGTGAGTTATTATTAACCGACGGTGTAAAAATAATAATGTGAAAATTTTGATGTTGAAATAACATTAACTATTGTAAGTAATTATATGTTTCTACAAACTAGGGATCTTCTACATGTATAGATACAGCTTTGTAATTAACATTTGAAAATCGCACTTAATTTTATTATTATTATTTTTTGATATATTGGTGGGAATCAAACACATAACCTAATATTAACTATCCAAATTCCTTACCACTAGACTAATCTTAGGTTTTTTAAAAAAAATATGGATTAAACTACTAAACCGCTCTGAAAGTACGTAAGCAATTGGGATACTAATAATGTGAAATTTCAACTTTTTTTTTTTTTTTTACAGAAAAGAGGTTTTCTAGAATGACTAAAGTTGCTGTTTATATAAGCAATCCTAATATCTACGTCTTAGATTGTAATTCCACGACATAAATAATGAAAGCAATTTAATAGTTCAATATATTCATATTTCTAATAATTTAGGAAGATTTTAAACAATCAGATTAAATTTATTTGGTCAAAAGGTAACTTACAACTATGATAATTAATAAATGAAGATGGATATTTTGTATTTTGTTTTAATTTTACCATTATTGTTGTTGATATTACTTCTGGCATGCAATTATGCAGATGAATGATTTTGATCTCAGTAGTTATTTATCAAATTTCTTTTTTAATCAAATAAAATGTGAGCGCGGGTATAGACACATATATTGGCAAAGCTTTTGCTTTTGGATGGAAAAATCAAAAGACGTTTCTTTAATTTATTATAAGGAAAATAAAAATAAAAATACTTGAGTGTGTACGTTAAAAGCAACACCTGTTTAGTTATTAACTTTTTGGTTGAGTGCAAAGCTGGTATGGTTTTCTAGTCCTGGTCCTCCTGGACGACACTGTGAAGGGAGAGATGCACGGCTTCACCCTTCACAATAGCATTAGGTCAAGCAAACTTATGTGTTGTTTGGTGCGCGGAAAGGTCACCACCTTATTATATGATCCAGTTTCCAGTTTCCACACACACCCATGCGCCCTCTCTCAATTAATTTTCTTTTGTCCTATTATGGAATCCCAATTAGCTCCAACATTATCTTATCTCATATATTGTCGACCCTGTGTTTAAATTAAATATAATAATTTCCTTTGCTTTTAAGGGGAGGATATCAGTGAAACAAATCATCTTTGGTTGTTCCTAACCTGCGCGCGAACTTTTATTATTATATGAATCGAACTATCGGTTAATCAAATTAACCCTTTATCTTATTTTCAGCACCAATGATAAGATTGTCTGTCGTTTCAATATTATAGTTTACTTTTCTTTTAGGGTTCTCTCCTTGATTGGATTGTTGTTTTTCTTTAATTTATAAAAATATACTTCAACAAGCAGGTGTGGTTCAATAGTTATTCATGCTAAGTTAACCACCAGGTCCTCCCTGAAAGCTACTTTTTTTAAAAAGTTCAACTTTTCCCTCACAATAAATAAAAAAAATAAAAGCTGAGCAAAATAAGGGAAAGGTTCCACTATTCCGTATGGTTTGGTATTATGTCTATAAATTGTCAATATACAACATATAGTAGAATAAATTAAAAATTATTATATAAATTTATATAATATATAATGAAACAAAACATCATGACAGAAGAAATCTTAACTTTAAGCTGTAATAATATGTTTTCATACTAAAATTCCACTTAATTATTTAATTCAATAATTAATATATGCTTAAATTATATTGGATTATTAATTATTTTTTAATTAGAAACATAATTAAATAAATAACATTTGCATCATTCAACTCGTTGACGAATTTTTGATTAATGGACGGAAATTGATCTGTAACATTAAAAAATTTAGCTACAACTAAATACATACAAGCTAGCTATCTCCATCAACAAATAATTATAATGGAATTCATACAATTCGGAGATGAGCTCCAAGGACGTTGGGAGGAAATAGTCAAATCTATACGCAGCAAGCGCGTACTTTTGTCCCTTTGATGATGAATGGCAACCACTAGGGTTGGTATGAGGTGTATATAATTGTGTTCGATTCACTGTAACTCAAAAAAAAAAATGATGAATGACGAAAGAAGATTAATTATAAAATATTGAAACCATCTTAGATTTGTTGTGACCAATGACTTTTAAAATAATATGATTTTTAAATATGTAAAGCATGTTTCAATTTTTGTGTTAAAGGCGGGAAGTATAAATTTTAATGTGTGAAAAACACAAAAATATTGTGTTCTAGTGCAGATTATTTGTTAGTTGCAAATGAATCCTTCGATAATCATAGTATTTTTATAATTATTTACATTTATGAGTCAGTATCAAAGATCAAACAATACAAGAAATACAAAAAATAATAACAGTAGTTATATTATTTTTCAACCACAAATATAATATAGGAATGTCTGCTTGTTAGTTAATTGTGTTTCAAGTTGCAATTTGCTTGTGAAACAATCGTGAAGTTACCGGCAAAATAAAGACATCTCAAAATTTATAAACGTATTTTGTTGTAAAGAATCTCAAAAGGAGATAGCATGTTTTGTAAGGACTAATTTAATAATATATACAATCACAAATAGAAAAAGAAGAGAAAAGAAGTAGGAGACAAAGTTTATCCTGGTTCACCCCAACGTAAGGATACGTCCAATGAAGCTATCACATTCCTCACATTGCAACTGACACTATACATATGCCTTAATTTTGGAATGTTATTTTTTATTCTCATAAGGCTATTAGACCTTTTGCGCATATGCTAAGGTTGGTTGATAATTAAAAAAATTACAATGGTTTATATTTATGAAGCAAAAGATAGGGCTAAAGAGGTTAATAAAAGTGCATTACATGGCAATGAAGCTAAGTATAGAGATGATTTTGCTATCATTTATAGAGATGAGAAGATTTATTCCATCATCCATTGCATGCAACAAAAAATTATCTGAACCTTCATTTCTTTTATTCTCATTAAAAATTTAATGATGATTTAGGAATGATCCATGGATATTTAAAATGCATTGAGAGGCTAAGTGTAGATATGGAAAATATAGAATCATATAAAAAAAGCTACGAGTATCTTTGGTATGGATTCAAACACGAGAGAAAGGAGTAAACTGTCTACAAGTGAGCTTTTGATCATATTAAGTTTTTATTTCCATTACAATCCATTCAAATAGTTATGCTATTAAGCTATTGCATGTTGTGTAATAGTTCAGTGGTGGATGATATATAGAACGCAAGCCATACCATTGAAAAAGCTTGCCATTAAAGTGTTGAGCCTAACTTGTAGTTTTTCGAGACGTGAGTGTAATTGCAGTATTTTTTAGCATGTAAGTACATGTCAAATGGTTTTATTTTATGGAGTTTCATAATTGGTTTTGAAAATAATATTCTCTGTTATTAATTATCAGTTATTGTTTCATTCCAAGAAGCGAAGTAAACTTGAACATTAGAAGCTGCAAGACTTGGTTTACATTAAGTATAACCAAGCTCTAAACACAACTTTGCCAATCTTGATTTGATTGATCTCATTCTCCTAAATTATATCAAAGATATTAGTAATGAGTGATTGGTGGGAGACATGGGTGGAGATGGAAACAAATAATGGAAATGTGCTTGTGTTTGATGATGATACCTTGACTTCGAGTGATAATGCAAGTTTAACTAAGCTTGGTTTACATGAGGTAGCATACACGATCCAGGAAACAAGAAATTTCATGGCCTTCAAAATCTAGGGGATGGGAAATTATAGAAAATGAAGGTAGGTACAACAAATTGAGAATTTGCTAGAATAACTCTATTATGTTTCTAGATAGTGTTGGTGAATTATACTTCGAAGATAGTGGAAGTGAAGATTGTGATTAATTCTTTTATTACAATTTGAATATAAAATATTACAATTGACAGTATCTACATTATTTTAATTTGAGTATTTATATGTACACTACATCAATATAACAATTTAATGAAGAGGACTCGGTATTGTTGCTATACTATTATCCAGTGTTGTAAAACCGAACCGAACTGGCCGGTTCAACCGAGAAACTGGTAAACTAGTAATCAGTTTGAGTATCTCAATAGATCGAAGATGCATTTCAACTGGTATGACCCGTGTAACTCGACCAAGTTACATTCAATCTGGTGACCCACCGGTTCACCGAGTTAGAGATCCATTTACAAAATAAAGAAGAAGGAGGGTCGTGAATGAGCAATGAATCAGACTCTTTCTTAGCTTTGAATCTTCAGTAACTAGAGCATCCATGGGTCAGAAAAAGAGAAAGAGGATGTTAAGTTTGGAGCAAACAGATTTTCAGAAATGCATGCATTGGGCATATGGGCTCAGAGTGACAAGCACTACAAAGAGCCACCCCCAGCACCCTTGTTTTAGCCCGGGAGCTAAAGTCATGATCCTTTTATGGAGCTCGGATTTCTAAGTTTGTGGCCACTTTCTTGTTCCTTTATATCACCATCTTAACTGTGATGGGTGTGAACAAGTCATCCACAAGCGTTCCTCTATTGGCACTCAAGGTATTGCTTGGGCTTTTGGTGGTATAATATTTTCCCTTTGTACTATGCAACTGGAATATCACTCTAAAATAAGTGAAATGAACAAAGAGAAATGAAGTGTGAAATGAAGAGAGAGAAAAAAGTGAAAAACAAAGGGGAGAGGAAGCGGACAAATGAAGAGAGAGAAAAGGTACAATGGGTAAGAGAGAAAAGTAAGAAAATGGGATAGTTAATAAGATATTGATTTTTGAAAAAAAAAATTAGGCATAGGGCTCAAGTAGGTGAGGAGTTGAAATTTAAAAGGTTTATAATTTTATTAATATTTTTTTTTAATTTTGAATTTTAAAAATCTTAATTTTCTAAAAAAAAAAATATATACTTTCTAGTTGGGCTTATATTGGTATCATGGATAATTTGACTTGAGCTCATGTCTAATATTTGAATTTACCACATTTATCATTAAGAATTATTTTATTAATTTAAAGTTAATTAAATTTTTTTTAACAAAATATAATTAAATAATTAATTAATATAATATTAATTATTAAATTGTATTAAGTCATTTTTTTTTTAGAATTTTATAAAAATTATAATATATATATTTACACATTAATCCGGTTCAAGCAATTAAACCAATAACCCACTAATTAAACTACTAATTTAGTAACTCATTATCCCGACCAACTCAACAATCAAGTTTTATATCATTGCTGTTATCCACTATAGCCTTATAGTCTTTTTGGAGGTCGGCCGCTAATGTACGTTACCCGCACCTGTCTTAACTCTTAACCACTAGTCCGGATTTGAAATTGAGACCTCAGATATACGGTTTTTACAGTGGCCTAAGATGCAGAAGTTCAAACCAACTGCGGCCCATGAGTCTCAAGCGTATCGAGCAGGCCGAAGGATGTTGGGCTTGCTGGTGCATGCTACGACCTGGACTTAGCTTATGGGCTCTACACAGAGGAGGAGGAAAAATATGGGTTAGGGTTAAAGTTGTTTCAACCTTTGTAGTTATTCCCAATATCTCATCAAAGCACAACTTTTATTTTTATTTTTATACATAGGTGGAAATTAAACGCACAACTTAATACAAATTATTCAAATCTTTCACCACTATATCAATCCTAGTGGCTTCCATAATTTTTTTAATTCTACTAATGGTGGTTAGCATATATTGTACTATATACTTTTATTATTTGACTTTATTAAAATTTGCTCTAACTCTACGAAAGTTCATGCCACAACTATTTGAGATCCACAATAATGACAGGTGATCGGGTTATTGCTGCGAAAACGATGTTGGATGGGAAACTAATCTTTCAAAGAATCTGAAGGCCTCATGCAACTTGCTAGTGGTGTAGCTGGAAGCATCTACACCAAAAATAACTTTGTGCGCTCATAATTTTATCTCTTTTGTGAAGTTATTCAAATATTTTGCCAGAAAACTAAAAAAGATAGAGATAAGGTTTAGTATAATTTTAATTTGATGATGATCCATTTGGTGGCGATCACAGAAACCGCAATGCAAGTAATATATCTTTAATTTAAAACTAGCAAGTATTTTACATACAATTTTAAATTTAAACTAAAAATATTTAAAATTATAAAAAAATGAATATAATTATTTAAGTATAATTTAAAAAGTATTGACAGAGAAATTAAAAATTAAAAATTAAAAATGAATATATGTATCTATATATACATATGCATAATTAATTAAAAAGAATTTAAATTTAAATTAAAAAAAAGTTAAGTGTCATTCTTAAAAGTAAATAAACTAAAAAAAACAAAAAAATTAAATCCCTTAGAGAGTATATTTTAATTTAATGTATAAGAATATATATTTTCAAAGAACGAAATCAAATACTAAATAATAATCTTTGTTTTCTTCTTTATTTGGTGATGATTGAGGAATAGGATCAATATAATGGCATACAATGACATCAACACTATAAAGATAACTCAATTGAGGAATAGGATCACTGGCATACAATGACATCAACGCTATAAAGATAACCATTGAGTTCTTATATATAAATGTAGTGTTGCAGGAGATTTTTTTTTCTACTAGTGAGATATTAAATTATGTGCAACAACATTTTTATTTTATTTTTAATGGATTTTGGGACCCATTATATCTTATATCTATAGTAAGAAAAAGAATTATCCTACAACATCATAAAAAAGAACCCAAATGTAACAGTATGAATATAATATAAATTACTATTAATCTCATGTCGGAGAGCATATTTATTAAAATCAGACCGACCCGGCCGGGTCGACCCGAGAACCAGTAAACTGATTATATAACCGGTCCGGTTGAAGCAACGGACCGGCCATGCATCAGAACCGGTGCGAACTGGCCGGTTTTCATAAAAACGGTGACCCGGCCCGGTCCCAAAAAAAAAAATTCAAATTTTTGTTTTTTCAAAAAAAATCATAATAGCCATATTTGAATATTTTTTTGCTTATTGACTTACATAAGTTATGTACTTACCACACTAATATTATCTCAAGTATGTACTATGCATAAAATTTTGAAATAATTTATAGTTAGAGATGTCGTTTTCTGAACCTAAAGCCCCGTATCATGATCATTATATTTTTGTTTGATTTTTTATTTGATAATAATATGTGATTTATTATTTTTTATATTAAAATATTTGATTTTTTTATCATTTTTTTTAATATTTGAGTATGTTTATAATTTTTTAATATAAATTATAAAATTACATATAATTATCGGGTATTGCAGTTGAACCAGTGATCCAGTGACCCGGTACCTCGACCGGGTCAATGACTGAGCCGATTTTAATAACATTGTACGAGAGTAGTTCTTTCTTACAATAGACACAAACACAATCTTGGATGAGGCCTACTTACTTATAAAAAATAAATAAATAGAAATTGAGTTACAAAAATCGATGAATGTGTAAGAAAGAAAACTCCTTTCAAACAACATGAGGAAAAAATCTAATATATAACCGTTGCACTGAATCAGTGCAATGGTCATATTTGCGCTATGCATTCCCAAGCAAATATTAAAGTTATTTTTTTTTTAAAAAAAATTTGTCAACTGATGTTAAAGAGGGAGAAAAAGCAAATTTAATATTTTCACTATGTATTTTTGAGAATATATAGTTAAAATATCAGTGTCGTACTAAACACACACCAGTACCAAAAATGATCTACAATAGTTTTTCCCAACATTAAATGTCACAATTATATTTTTTGGTTCACACAATTTGTCTTCTACCGTTATTCCTAAAAGGTAGAAGATAAGAATGAATAAACTTTACAAGCATTAGATTCTATTCCCAATTTCCCATACGTCTTCGTAAACACACAAATGCAAACATTCTTCGTCCCTTTCAGTTATTTATAATTGCGGATTAGGGTACCCAGCTAGCAATAGACAATCACAAAGTAACACATCACTTTCTATCCTATATAACCTAAGTTTTTTTTTTTTTTTGAAGAGTTGTTTATTCACATCATGAGTAATATTTAATGGCATCATATGTGCCTTTTGTTTTTGATTTTCGTAAATACAGTTTGTCTATCTTTATTCCTAAAAGGGCCAAGATAAGAATGAATAAACTTTACAAGCATTAGATCCTATTCCCATATATCTTCATAACCACACAAAAGCGAACCTTATTCGTCCCTCTTTTCCGCGATTTATATTTGCTGGCTAGTGTACACTTCTAGCAATACACAAGCACAAAGTATCACACCACTTAGTAAGCATGGCTCAAGTGGGTAATTCTCTCTCAGCTGAAATGGAAACACTGAATCATGTTCTGTCATTAGTAGAGGCATTCAGAGCTTTCGACGCAGACAACGATGGGTTCATTACAGATGCGGAACTAGGCGGAATCCTGGGGTCAGTTGGGTACAATGCTAGTGAACAAGAAGTGAAGGCAATGATGAAACAAGGGGACAAGAACAAGGATGGGCTATTGAGTATAAATGAGTTCTTGGAGATGAACACAAAGGATTTGGAGACTGGGAATCTTGCAAATGTTCTCAGCACAGCATTTGAAGCGTTGGATGAAGATGGGAACGAAAGTTTGACTGGGGAAGACCTACATGAGGTGATGGAGAATTTGGGTCTAGAGTTGTCACTAGAAAAGTGTCACAATATTGTTACTTCTCTTGATTTGGATGGAGATGGAGCTGTGAGCTTGGATGAATTCCGGGTCATAGTCGATTCCCTCCGAGATATATAGCCACTTGTGGTTTATGGTTTATGTTATGATCAATAATCATATATGTATAATGTATACGCTTAGAGAATTGTATTTTCATATATAATTAATTAAGGAATAAGGAAAGAGTTTGTACCCAAATTAAAAAAAAAAAGGAATAAGAATACTCCTTCCATTCTATATTCCTGTAACTGTATATCAGAAATTGCTTTTGTTTTATCTCATGTAAAAAATAATAAAAATAAAATCGATTTTACCCTCCTAAATCTTCTTCCATTTTGAATGTTCAACACTGAATTAAAAATACTCTCTTATTTTGAGAATTTGTTATTTTTATTTTTTTTTCTTGTGTATATGTATCACCATTCACCAACTATCCGTCAAGCGACCCTTGGCGATCATGTCGAATAACTCGCCGCCACGAACGAGTTTCATGGCGATGTAGATCTTGGATTTGCTTGCTATGACTTCAACGATGTTGGGGTGCTTCACCATGTTTACTGCGGAGATCTCTCTCTCACTGCTGTCACAACCAGATTAATATGCTAGAGAGAATAGCGAGGGAAAGAGAGATGGTGAATATTTTTATTTTTCAATTTTAATTTTTTAATCTGAAAAATAAAATAAAAAACAGTGCATAGGGCTTTTCGAAGGCCCGCTCGTTGGCTATAATTTTAAGGGACGCTTGTTAGAGGAGATATTTTTTATTTTATCATATAAATGCAATTATTTGTAATATGGTAGAAAAGTTAAAAAAAAAAACAACTGTTTGGTTGACCAAATTTTTATCATGAAAATTGGATTAAATATTGTGAGTCTTTGTTTGGTTGAGGATGAAACAATGATGGATAAATGTATTGAAATACCGAAAACAACCCCTAATTTAATTTTTGCATATGTATACATATGTACTTGACCGAGAGTAATATGATTAAGTGTTCGTTCACCTTTTTGGATTGCCTAGCCTTTTCTAGGAATACCACATTTGAATTGGTTAAATTGCACAATGATTTTCTTTTCATTTTTCACATATTTGTCAAAGGATGGGGAAAAGAAAAATATGGCACAATTTTTGGAAAACCAAACAAAGGAATCATTAAATGCCAATTAAATTTTAAATGGAAAACCAAATCAAAAGCCTCAACCAAACACACCCTTAAAGTTTTCTGCCCATTCGGACCTTTTCATAATGAGTTTTTTTTTACTCTAACCTACACGGGTCAAAGCTAAAGGGAATGAACAGCCCATTTTGACACCGTGTACTTTCAATTCACATTTATCAAATTAAACATACAAAAAAATATTTATCCTTTTTTTAAAAAAAATTATAGATTCTTTTATTTAATATTTAAATTTAAAAAAATTCATATTTTTTCTAGCCATATTTTCTATTTTATAACTCTTTCTCTCACCAAAAAAACACTATAATTTTTGTCTAAAATAACATAATTTTATATCCATTAAAATAACAAATCATAATCCCTTAAACATCTTATTTTAGCTTCACATAATTTATTCGAACTTTCTCACGTTTAATTTAACGTTAACATTAACCTTACAAAATAAATATGTTGACTAAATAGGTGGAAAGACAATTATTTGACTCTTAACATCACTAAATTTTATCTGTATATTTATTCGTTGTCCTAAAATTAAAAACATTTAACCATCTCAATTTAAATGTTTTAATTTTAACATTTAATTTGAGTACCCAGCCTACTCAATCCTAAGTTTTTTTTTCCCTAAACGAAAGGAAAAAATTTAACAACTGAGATATTAGATGACAACAATGTCAAAAAGGTTCATATTTTTTTAACTTCTAGTATGAGAAAAAATAATAAAAAATAATATTTAATAAAAACCAAATTATTTGGTCAGGACATAAATTGAAAAAAATAAAGAATAATTTTCACATTACTTATTAAATACTTAAATTGTAGAATGTATTATCGATATTTACTAAATATATAAATAAAAATATTTTATTTGATAAAAAACGTGTCAGATAATATTATACATACACTGATTGAACTCAATTAAGAAAACGATTAAAATCGACCTATATGTGGTCCAATCTCATACTAAAAATTCACAAGAACCAAAATCGATATGTTAGCATAAATTTTTCTACTTTTGTCCTGATAATTTTATTTATTTGTAAAACATAATTTAAAATATAAATATGTCAACATGATAATTTCACCCAAACTAACCCGAATTCCATTTAGTTCTTATCGTATTGAACAAAAAAAAAATATAGTACAGAAGTCAACATGTGAAATTCCTTTTTCGTAGAGGCAGGGTTATTCTCTCCTTTTATTTCATGTGCCGTAATAAATCAGAGGGTATTTGGTAGAGGAGGAAAATTTTTTTTCAGAAAAATATAATTACTAAGAAAATAGTAAGAAAGTGATTTTCCTGGAAAAATTAAAAAAAATTGTTTAATAAGCCAAAATCTTACCAAAAAATTTTAGTATAAAATTACTACAAATTTGAATTTGTTGGGAAAATCAAAATACCACCATCAAGATAGTATCCCCAAATGAACATTTTCCTTCATTTTTTCACTACAAAAATTTCTCCATCAAATTTCTTTTCATAGACAAATTTTTCTTACTCCATACCAAACATGTCATTTGTGAATCCCATTTGTTAAATAACAAGAAAAGAGAGAAACATTTACAGAACCAATTTAACCAAAAGCATAAGCTGTTGGATGAGATTAAATTAATAGTTTTATATATCTCAACATGTTGAGATATATAGTCTCACATACATTGATTGTACGAGGAATTAATGTGGAGTTTATAAGGCCTTAGGCATTCCCACCTTTTGAGCTAGCTTTTGAGGTGGTGTATCCCAAGATTCTTTGTATGGTATCAGAGCCTCGCCGTCCTCCACTTTCTTAACTCAGGTAGGCTAGGCCTGTTGCATTGTCCACTCTTCAAGCCCAATGGACTCTCGTGTGAAAGGGCACGTTGAGATATATAGTCCCACATTAGTTGTATGAGTACAACTAATGTGGAGTTTATAAGGCCCTGAGCACTTCCACCCTTTGAGCTAACTTTTGGGGTGGTGTATCCCAAGATTCTGGTTCTTTACACCATTTATCACTTTCCTAGCATTCTCAAAAAAAAAATCCACCTAACAAACACCCCCAGGTAGAAGAACAACAAGGAGGAGGAGAAAATCAATAAAATGAAATGAAAGATAATTCTACAAAAAGAAAACAATAGAACCAAACAGAAATAATACTTTAGCCGCTGTTGAAAAGTTATAATACATTTTAAGATTGCAAGTTATATATTTGACTAATTAAGATAATAAAGAATAAACTAAAATAACTGATAAAGAAAACATTTATAATCATGTTATCAAAAAAAAAAAAAAACATTTATAATCAATTATGTGAATAGAAAAGAATATAAAAACAAATTATCAAGCACATACAGATACAGGAATGAAAAATAAAAATAAGAAACTAATAAGACATATTAAGGGCTGTGCGCATGCTCAAATTAATGGGTTGAAACGCGAGCTCTGTATTCAGATTAATTTTTTATTGAAAAATAATAATAATCAAACTATTGCAGAAATGACTCTTTAACTACATTTACATAGTCAGTGTGTGGTTACGATCCATGTCTTACTTCACCATTGATAGAATATAAAAAATGCAGTCCCAAGGTGTTTGCAAACTCAACGTTCCCTTGCTTAACACAAATAATAAATAGCATCTCATGCAATATGTTTAACATAATTAAAAGTAAAGGAACAAAAAATGCTCGTACAGGCATGATTCACAGTATATTTAAAAAACCTTATAATTAATATCTCGGTCACTACGTCAAGAAAAGAAATCTTAAAAGTAAACAAATCCAAATATACGTAATTCATTTTGCTTTACATCTTGCCCTTCAATTCTTGCGGCTTCAATATCCCCACCCGTACCCCAAATGACTGTTGTCAATTCCAAAAATTTAGAACACGTTTGACCATAAACAGACCTATATTCAGATCAACACAAGACCAGACAAACCGAGGCAGAAGTCATTTAATGCAATCCTAAATAAACCAGCAAAAACAAAGTGTTCCAAAGTTGCAATCAGAACTAATTAAAGCTAAAGGGATAGATATATCACATGTTACAGGGCCAGGGATCATCATGAGAATCTTCCAGAGTATTAAGGAGATTAGTAACCAAAAGACTCAAAAGACACACTTAGAACCCAACCAAACCATTCAGATACCACACTAAATGACAAATCACCAATTAAAGACTTGACCCATATCTTAACCAAAAAAAAAAAAAAAAATTAAGAAAATGAGTTTATGGAATACTGACCAATACACCACTTCACTGCTCACAATTGAATTCCAACCACAATTATAAAATTCTCACCCACAATGTTACCTGTTTGAGGAATTTAGAAGACTGTCATGGCTATTTCCTACTCGTTATTTACCAAAAATATACCCGCCAGACAACTCGGAAATCAGTAGTTGGATTACTGATAACAAACAGCTGAAAAAATCACACATAATCTAAAAACTAAAACCCAAAAAAAGTCTTTAAAACATAATCATTATCACAAATAAATACATAGCGCTGAGCATAAACAATAAAGCACATAAATCACCAAGATATTAACTATGAAGAAGCACGCACTGAATGATTAACATAATTACTGTTAGACCAGTACAATTTACAGCAGTAGGTAATCCAAAGGAATAGAAATCAAGCACAAACACTATTTATGCAGAGCAATTACCAATTCCTAAACCCATGTTTCCAATTCACCCCGGATAGTAGCATTCACGACCCCAACAATTCCAGGGGGAGAACGAAAACAAAGGAAGCTCTAGCCTCTAGACATCCGCAACCTAAAATAAAAATAAAAATAAAAAAACTATGCATGGTTACAGCAGGTAACAAAATCCTAGGTCTTAAACCTATATGAGTATATGTTCACGGAAAGAAACCCAAATCCCAAACCCCACATGCATGGAGAAAAACGAGGAGAAAGGTCAAATTACACTAGAATTACATGCTCAGTTGCTGATAAAAGGATTTAAGATCAAACCTAGCAAGAAAACATAAACACACTATCCTAGGCTCAAACCAAACACATCAAGGGCTAACCATCGTCAGAACCAAGACCAAGGAAAAAGGTGAAATAAACCGCAGGATTAAAAGTACCATTGGAAAGAGTAAGCATGTACGGAAGATACAAAGGGTCGTTTCAATGGTTTTGGAAATATGCACGGGTTCCTATGCTTCTTCGAGGCAGACCCGGTACATGCTTCCCAACAGGGGTTCCCTCAATTTGGCGATTCAAGCCGTCACGGGCTTCTGAGAATACAACAGGAAGAAAATCTCGACTCTTACATTGGAAAACTTTTTGGCGGAAAATCCTCATCAAGGTATCTTTGCCCTGTGGAGTGTGGAGTGACACACACACACACACACACACACACACAAAGGACAAAATAAACAAACGAGATATCAGATTTTATGCAAACCCCAACGGGTTCACAAATGTTAAGGGGAGGGAAAATGGCATTTAATGAAATGAGAACAAAACCTGATATAGGGCTGCATTGATCTCGCATATCTTCTGATTCTCGGTGACATTCCACACGAGTCCTTGGAACTGCTCGTAGAACTTGAATGCTGCAGAAGGAGTTGTAAAGTTCACAAAGGCATATCCCAAATTCGACATCCTTCCTTCTATTGCATGTTTCCTGAAAAACATAAAACAAAAAAACATTAACCAAACGAGAAAGTTAATGAAAAAAAACTGAAACAAGGAACTGATTCCAGAAATCTACCTGTAATCCATGGGCAAATAAATGAAATCAAACTTAGACCAATCCGCGGGATCCTCAATAGTCTTGTTTTGTTGCCAACAATGGTCGTCCATCATGAGTAGCAAGTCGTCCAACCTGATAAACGGCAACGCATGCACGACTCAAATGTCAAAACGCACGGTATCCGAATCGCCACATTATAAATTACAACCCCAATAACACATTTCGACGATAAATGCCGTTTACAATCCCCAAAACAAAAACAAAAACAAAAATTCCTGGCAAAAAGCACAAACGAAGAGATGGAAAGAAATAGAGAGAGAGGGGTTACTTGTATTGGTTTGGGACGTTCCGAATCATGACTGTGGTTATAGGAGAGGTCACAGCTTCCTCAATAGTATTTGGAAATGGAATAACAGTTCGACGAGGAGCACTTCCAGAAGTAGTACTATTCTCATCTAAGAGTTCCCCCTTCGCTCCCTTAACCCTCCATTCAGAGCGAACCATCTTCGTCACAGTCCTCTTCCTCTCATATCCCTCAGGAAAGCTCATCTTTTGCGACACCCTCCTGTTAATGCTACCCATTTTCACGTTCACATGAGTAGGCTCCGAGCGATTCGGAGGATAAAACCCAAAGCTGCATGAAGTGGAGGGAAAAATCGGCGTGTGCTGATATGGAAGAAAACATAGTTGCCTTGGTACCAAATAGAAGGGTTCAGCGTTTGGGTTAAGAGGGTGCTTGGAGTTGGATCTATGTAACTCAGAGAGCATGATTGGGTTTGTGGAAATGGTTACGTGACTTGAGGGTGGGTATTGGTAATAGTAATAGTAAAAATGGTATTTTGTTTTTCATTTACTTTTGAGATTGAGTTAGCAGGGAAAGTTGGGAGAGAGAATAGTGGATAGGGAGAGAAAAAAGGTTGAAAAGAAGAGGCTTGAAGAAGTAGTGGGTAGGACTCAGACTCTCTTGAGTCTGAGGTGTGTCCTTTTATGCTTCTTGCGTATATGATTTTGGGATTTGCAAATATTTGAGTAATGATGAAACTGGAATGAGTACATTATTTTATTTTTATTTTTTTTTGAGTAAATACCTTTTTAATTCTTAACAAAAAATACTATGTTTTAGTTTAGTATTTTATAAAAATAAATTAGTTAGTTAGTTTCTAACAAATTTAAAGTGAACTCCTTTTAGTTTTTTTGAAAGACTAATATGGATCTTTTTAATTTGTGAAGAACCACAATTTCAACTAAATAGATCAACTTTAAATTTGTTAGGGACTAACTGACAAATTTATTTTTTATAAAAGACTAAAATAAAGACCATATTTTTTTGTTAGAGATAAAAATGATATTTAGTATTACTTTTTATAGCGTCGCATTGAATGCTTCTTCTAAAACAACTTATAAGACAAAACTACACATTACACATTATCTTCTTCCTATGTTGTATGGCGGCGTTTGTTCACGCTGAGTTCACAATTTTCACTCTCCTCCTGTCCTATAACAATTACTAATTTCAGCTAAGTTTTTTTAATATATAAATAAGTTTAAAATTTTTAAAAGAGTAAATGCCCCTCAATAAAAAAATATAAAATCCATTTTAATCTATTCAAAACAAGTATCCATATTCGTTCTTTTTACGACTAATATGAGTCTTTTTTAAATTTTAAAAAAATCACAATATCAAAGAACTAAAATTTCGGAGGGGTTACAAGTTGATTTTTTTTTTTGAAGAATTAAAATAGATTCCATGTTTCTAGGTGAGGACCCAAAATAATATTTATTCTTCTTAATATATTAATATTGAGATATTTTTCAAAATGTTTTTTTAACATTGAAAAATTTGTTTATCAAATTAATTTTTTAATTACATTATAAGTCAATTTTTCACCTATTATATTTCTTAACATTTTTTTATGTAATTGTTTGTATTTTAAAATTTCATTTTTTATAAACTATAAATATAAAGTAATATATATATATATATATATATATATATATATTTCAGATATAATACTATAACATGAAACATTAAATATAATTAAAAATATTGGAAGTAGATTCTCTCTTGTGTAAAAGTGGTCATGTAGTCATGTTATTGGATTACAACCACTCATTTAAAAACTGTACATTTTTCTCTCTCTTATCTCATCATCAATGAGTGGTTGTGATCAAATAACATGACCACTTTTTTACATGAGAGGATCCACTCCCATTAAGTCATGTCATCCCGTAATACTTAATTTAGACGAAGTTATGAATCAATAAGATAAGAGGAAAATGTGTATCATTTTAAAGGATGTAAAGTTGTTTCATTTTAAGAGAGAGAAAGAGATAGATAAAGGAGGAGAGAGAGTTGACAAAAAAATAAAGGTGTGGGTCTCACCTCTTTGTGAGAGTGATAGAATAGAAGTTGTGTCGTTTAAAAGGATAAAAAAATATGAGAGTGGATTTTCTCATGTGTAAAAGTGATCATGTAGTCATGTTATTTGATCACAACCACTCATTTAAAAATTATACACTTTTCTCTCTCTTATCTCATCATTAATGAGTGGTTGTGATCAAACAATATAATCACATGACCACTTTTTTACATGAGAGGATCCACACCCATTAAGTCATGCCATTCCATAATACTTAATTTAGATGAAGTTATGAACTAATAAGATAAGGGAAAAGTGTGTATCATTCTAAATGATGTAAATTTATGTTATTTTAAGAGAGGGAAAGAGATAGATAAAGGAAGAGAGATAGTTGATAAAAAAATAAAGATGTAAATTTCATCCCTTTGTGAGAATAAAAGAATATAAATTATGTTATTTAAAAAGATAAACATTTTGATAAAATTTGAAAGAAAGAAATTGAAAGAGTGGAGACATTAAGAAGTGAGTTGCGTTCGTTTATTCAAACTTGATTGGCTAAGAAATTTCAACTCGAATTAATCACCTATAACCTAATTAAAACAAAACAAAGGGCTCTTTGCAGCACTGAATGTTCCCATGTTTTGAGGTTTTCCACGAGACACGAAAAGTCAGAGCCAACACAAAAAACTCTGAAAGAGTGAAGACCCAGCATGTAGTTGCGCTTTCAAATTAGTCTGAAACTTATCTGCGATAATTCTGACTCTCACTGGGTTCAGCCATTCCTTTTGTCTGTATATCTAAAGTCAAGTAAGCACCAACTTGTTCAGGTTCTGAAACAGGTACAGCTTCCATCTTGGTGGAACCCTTAACATGGAGACTTGGTACCACCGTCATACTGGTTACTGTATATGACGGTAGTATTTATATTATGTATTTTAAAAATATATAGATAAAATATTTAAGTTGATATTTTCCCCCTCTTTTCATTAATTATTTTAACTGAGTGCACATTCTTATTCATTGGTTGTACATACACTGTTGTATTAAAAATATTTCCCTTACTTGACATTCTCTTTCACATTTTACACCGACATAAATTGTTAAACTATGAAAAAGTATTTGTCTTTTTACATGACACAATTTATTTCATTTTACTTTCACAAAAAAGGTGAGACTCACATTTTTTATATTTTTGTTCACTCTCTTCTCCTTTATTTATCTTTTTCTCCCACTTAAAATGACACAATTTTATATTCTTTAAAATGGTATACATTTTTTCGTTAACTATTCGAACTATTTTATTGTTGCGACGTGATAAACTCAGTTATTAAAATTACAGTAATTAATTTTCAAATTAAATTTAAAGTATGAAAATTAAGAATTAATTAATTAAAAAGTATTAATTTTATTTTCCTGGCAAATTTAATTAATTTTGTAGAAAAATCAAATTAAATTGAAGCAATGATTGTTTTAGAAAAACCTCACCACATATTATCATACTATCATGAGGTTTACTGTGAAAGTAAAAATATAGTATAAGTTATATGTTAAACTTAATATTTAATTTAGTTTTAAAATACTAAATAATATGACATGAAACTGATGAAAGTAAACCTCACCAAATACTAGTCTAAGAACGAAATTATTAAGGTGCTCATGTAGCATCATTTATTGAGTAGAGTAAGTCAATTAAAATTGAATAGAGAAAATATGATATGTATATAAAGAAAAAAAAATAAAAAATTAAGTCATGTGTCATATTTTTAGTGAATGAAGTATGTGCTCCTGAACACTAAAATTTCTCTTATCTAAGAAAATGTAAAATATACAAATATCAATATTCATGTGAGAATATCAATTAGGAGATTATTTCTCTCACGTAGTATGAGAAAAGTTTTTTTATGTTAAGAGATAAATAAAGTAAGTTTTATCAAATTTAAAAAAAAAAAGGCACATTTTTTGAAAAAAAAGTAACACGAGAGATTTATCTTTGTATAAAAGTATGATTTCTCTAACAATTATGACCATTCTGGCATGTCTTCTCCTATGCGATAGTGTAGCGGCTACGCAACAGTCGCTTGCTTTCGCGAAATGATTAGAGTAATTTCTAGTCTCGTCGGTCTAACTGATAGAAATGTGGTGCTAATAAAATATTCATAATTATTGATTTGATATTTAACCATAATTAACTCATTTGTCAATTGTCATAATCTTAACTATTTATTTCGTTATTCAGAAAAATTAAATAGAAGAATTAACTGAACAAACATGTGCTAAGAGAAAGAAGAATTTAAAATAACATGTGGAAAAATTACTTCATTTGGATATATATTATTTTTAGAGTAGGTATAATACTCTCAAAATTTATAAAATCTTTAAGTTGTAAAGAATTACTTCAACTCAAAATCTCATGAGGTGTTTGGTTCAAGTGAAAATTTTGATTCACCAGAGAAATGTAATTACCAGAGATCTACAAGAAAAGTGAGTTAGGTAGGAAAGTTAAAAAAAAATTGTTTGGTTGGGTCAAATATTACCAAGCAAATTGATTAAATTTTTTAAAATGTTTGGTTGATGATAAAATATTGATGGATAAATGGTATAAAATCACAAAAGTAACCCCATAATAATTTTTTAATATTAATACAAGTGGCCAGTTTAATGTATTCTTCTGAATTAATGTTTCTAATTTTATGATTAAATGGATTCTGCCATGTCATTGATGACCATTGTGAGTAAATGGTTATATGTACTTTGAAATTGTTGTATATTTTTTTTCGTGAATGTGTTTCACACGTTAGTAGGAAAGTGACACTTCTAGTGGTTATGGATAGCAAGAAGTTGATAATTCATGTAACGGTGCTGTTACGGATGAAGGATTAATACGCCATATGCTGATTTAGGAGTAACTGAATGATTGTCCCAATAATCACATTCTTGATAGGTTTGATATCATACAAAATATCCCTAGTCCACTAGCATGACAACATCGCCTTTTTGGTTAAGATAACAGCATGACAGCTGTTGTAGGAATAATTGACTTGAAGGAAGAAAATCGAGCTTACAAATATGCATATGTGGAATTACTTCAGCAATAACACTTGTCCATATTGCTACCCCTGTTTGGGGACATTTTATTGATAAAACGATATTAATCATTACATCATATGGCTACAAAATATGAACAAACATCAACTACCTAAGATTACAAGAGAAAAGCCTATA